TTGGATTCTTAGTAAAATAGTAACATTTTACTCCTAAAACGTTACTGTGAGTAACGTTTTAGGTGTAAAACGTTACTCACAATAACGTTTATTGAGAATCCAATCACGTCAACCCTGCAAATGCAGAATCAAATCCTTCAAATTTAAAACGTTACTCCTAGTAACGTTTTACACCTAAAACGTTACTCACAGTAACGTTTATTCATTTAACGTCGTCAGCTCCGTCAATTTTTGTCCGTTGAATTTTTAAAATAAAAATAACCTAAAACGTTACCATGAAGTACGTTTATACTACTTTTGTAAAAAATTTAAAAAGAATATTAATTTGGTGAATTGATTTTTAAAATAGCTTATTTTGGTCAAAACTTCCATATATCACGGGCCCAGAGACAAAGTTCCGAAGAATGCCGGCTCCATTTATGGCAGATTTCTCTTCTGTTGGCCCTAATACTATAACTAGTCCTCAGATTAATTTTCCTTATAGTTGATCAGTGTTCTCTAATTAGTCGAATTTTGTCTATATTTTTGGTAAGTATATTACTTCATCATATTTTACTAGCCTGATTCTTGATGTTTAGCTCCTTACAGATTTTATATTTTAATAAGAAAATATTACAAGAGTGAACCTTCCATTTTATTGAATGAGAGATAGGAGTGAATTCAGGTACAGGAATTCCGCTTAAAATAATTCAAATATGTCTAGATTATGAGACATTTTGTGTAAAAGTATTCCCCAAAGAAAATTATGATCAGGGGGAGAATATGATTGGTATAGAAATTTCTATATACCAAGTTAATCCATTTTCTTCAACTTCACCGAAGCTTTTGTTTTGATTACAGAAATTATTGTATCTGTCACCCAGGTCGTGTTGACAGGGCTACTGCAGCACTGACTGAAAGTGAAGAGTCCGAGTGAACTTAGATTAAAATAGCATCTTGAGTTTCGGTGGCGCAAAAGCAACAAAACTTGAAAGCTGGAAAAGTTTTACAAGAAATGCTTTCGATGGCACAAATAATCTATTAGCAACAAAACCTGAAAGCTGGAAAAGTTTTACAAGAAATTAGAAACGCTCCCCAGGAAAAGTATTTATTCGACATCTCTTAATTAAACCACACAGAAACTTATTTTCAAGAATCACAATGCTTGAATAGATAAAAAGACAACAGGTTTGTTTTATTGGAACAAGTTTATCAGAGGAATGGACTGCAGAAAGATGAAACACTGAGTGATCCACGAGTATTCTATTAGCCATCATTGATCCCAGGTTAATTCCCAGTGAACGTCATGCCTTAATTCGATCCTACAAGGAAAATATGATAGATGAAGTGTTGGAGAGAGCTTTCTATGCTAAGCAATGTGCAATCGTGATTGTTAAGGGATTCATGGATTGCAGAAATTGTACAACGACTAGAAAGTAACTTAGAACAAAAACACAAATTTATGATGAAGATATAGAATCATTTTTTTACACAAAATGAACGAATTCGACCGACCTTAATTTGTGGACGAGGCAGGGGGCAATATAATGAGATTGAATTTGATGCTGCTTTCCGGATTTTGCTTCCCTAGTTTCTTGCTTTTGATTTCTATGGCAGAACTGACTGCCTTGAATGTGCGCATCAGTTTCATCTCTTGAAGATAAGGTAAATCAGCCAGCTCGTGTGGCACAGCCTTGAGATCATAACAGGAAATAAGAACAAGGTGTGTAAGACTTTGGAACCGACAATTTGATGCATCCCAAGTTTCCCAGTTTTCTGCCCAGTCAATCCACAGGACTTGGAGCTTGCTAAAACTTCCTTCCTTGGGTTCCCATTTATTCCCTATGAATGCATTCTCTTTCAATTTTAGTACCTTAAGGCATTTCAACTGCCCCAATATATCTGCCTCACTCCACTCAAAACCTGTATTTGACAAAGTTAACTTGTTCAGTGTTTCTAGTATGCTGAAAAAGTGTGGAGGAAGGTGAAGCTCTTCACTCCAACCATTGTTCAACAATTTCAAATTTTCGATGCGTGTTAGCTCTTGGAAGCTGTCGAATCCACGTTCCTTGGTAGACTTTCCAAGAAGAACTGCCAATTGCCCTTCAATACCCAATTTTCTGAGATGAATAACCTTTGCAAGCACAGTTTTTTTGCAACTATCTGGTGTAACCTTAGAAAGAGTTTGTAGACAAGAAGTACGAATCTTGCTTGTTGGAGTAGGAGGGGGAGGCAATTTCACAGGAAGGTTGGAGTGCAGATGTCTCAATTGTAACAATTTCCATATGTCCTCTTTTATCTCAAGGGTGGAGCTTGAAGTATCTGTATGAAGTATAAGGGTTTGTAAATACCAAAAATTACCAAAGAGTGAAGGAAGGACCGTGAAGTTGCCTTTGATGGCAATATACCTCAAGTGAAATAGCCGATAAAACATCTCAGAGAATTCAAATATGAGGGATTGAATGTCCAACACCCTGATGAGTGGAAAGGCGTAGGGGATGAGTTGGATATCTAGATTAGACAAGTCAATTTGCTTTTGGTTTGAGGAAAAACATAAGAGAGACCTAACATGCTGTACAATTCTATCTTTAGGGATAAAATTATACGGAATAGAGGATTGAATACATAGTCGACGAGAAGTATTTGGATCTTCTATAGAAGGAAAAACTTGAACACCAGGTTGGAGATATACTTGTTGAAAGAGACTTATCCTTTTAGCCTCAATAATGCAGAACTCATGCAACATGTCATGGAGACGACATGTTTTGATTTGACCGTTAGATCTCTTTTGCATCACCATCACTAAATTCCTACCGGCAAAGTCGCTCAAGTAAGTCTCTGCAACCTTCTCGATTTCACTGCCTTGAAGATCGGACTTTATTAGCCCCTCAGCAACCCATAAGCGAATAAGTTTCCAAGCAGGAATATCAAAGCCTTGAGGAAATACTCCAAAATACAAGAAGGCTGCCTTTTTCTGTTGTGGCAAATGATTGTAACTCGTTTCAACATATTTCAAGCAGCTTTTATCGTCGTCCTTGTTTATAAAGATCTTCCCCACATTTTCCTTGACTACTATCCATTCACTTTCATCCATACAACCTTTCAAAGCTCCTGAAATCACCACTATGGCTAGTGGTACGCCACAACACTTATCTACAATCTCTTCTCCATATCCTCTTAAATTAATAGGACACTCCCTTGTTTTGCCAAAAACTCTCTGTTCCAACAACTTGAAACTATCCCCTTTTGACAATTTTTCCAGATTGTGAGGACGAGCGCTGACAGCTTCAGCCACACGTTGTTGGCGAGTTGTCAACATGATTCTGTCCCCTCGGGGCTGGGATTTGTTGTTTGGGAAAGCTTTCTTGACAAAATCTACAACTTGTGTGTCCCACACATCATCCAAGACAATGAGATATTTACCTCTTTCAACAAGAAAATCACGTATGATATGAGCTAATTGGTCCTCATCCTTGTCTTTAATTAGTTCTTTACTATTGCTTGGCGCGACTTCATTCACAATCTCAACAAGAATATCCTTTGGTTTCTTTGATGTCCCAACATAAATCCACATTCTCTTGTAAAAATGAAAATCAAGGGAAGAATCATTGTAAACTTTTCTTGACAGTGTGGTCTTTCCAAGGCCTGGCATTCCCACAATAGGTATAACATCAAGATCCTTGGATCCTTCACCGAGTCGCTTTATAACATCTTCTGCAGGCTTATCAAAACCAACCACTTCGATATCCTCCTCAGCAGGACCCTTTTGAAATCATCAAATTGTTACAAATTTGGGGGATCAAACTAGTTCAAGTAACAAAAAAACCAGCTGAAATAAAAATAAAATCGCAATGCGAAATTTTATACTTTCGTACCATAATAAGGCATAATGTAGTTCCTATAAAACTTATGCCTTAAAAGGCATAACTTATTCCTACATAACTTTTATCGGACAAGGTAAAAATTCTTCAAACTTATGCTTTGCGTTATCTAAACTTATATCTTATGAAATTAGGTGATAATTAAGGGTACTTTGGCCCGCAAAATTGAAGACCATCCAAAGATGGGGGCAATCCATGCAAAAACTTAAAACTTAGAGGGAGGTTCCTAAAACTATCCCCTTTTTTTTGTGTTGATACATTTGGGGGTCGTTTGGCAGCTAGTTAAATTTATTCAAGTATTAGCAATGTACGAATTTATTGCTTATGAGGGAATCTACTTACTATTTTATGGTATTAGTTATAAAGGGTATATTTATTCATATATTAGTTATTCTCTTATGTCATTCATAAATTAATATATAGATTCTCTCATAATTTATACATGTATTAGTTATTTGTACAAGACCTTTGTGAGAGGCTATTTCCACAACTTGTGGTCCAACCCTTCCACAAATCCTACTCATAACGAGAATTTAGTGCATCGGACTGCCCTTCTAAATGCTCCCATGTTGAATTTTTCATCTAAAAAAAGACTAAAATATTTTCTCCATGTTGAATTTTTAAGTAGAGTACTATTTAGTGCCTGTTTAGATTGACTTATTTTAGATGCTTTTAAGCAAAAATAGCTTTTAAGCAGTTTTGAAGTGTTTGAGTAAAGTTAAAAAGTGCTTATAAACACTTATTTTAAAGCCAAAATACAAAATAGCCAAAAGTCATAAGTTAGAAATCATAACTATGGCTTTTGGCTTATAAGTCATAAGCCAAAAGTTAATCCAAACAGGCCCTTACTCATGTGAATCTGGGTAAATATGGGTAAACTAGTATTTTACCCAACCCATTTGTTACCCAATCCATTTTTACTCATATCAAATATGGGCGAGTTGAATTATTACCCATTTTATGTTGAACCATTTTCAATTCGCCCAAATTTGACCCAACCTATCCATTTGCCACCACTAGTCCATTCCAAAAAGAATGTCACTACTTATGTTCCTATTTATATGTTACCATTTTAGATTTCACGTTTCTTAAAAAATTAGATAAAACTGTCATTTAGTGTTCTTTTGAAGTCAAGTTTCAATAAATGAACTTTAATTAATTTATTTTGATTAATTAATTTGACCAATGAAGATAAATAAATTATTTAGTTTTCCTACATTGGTCAAATTCATATTTTCAAAGATAATAACTCTTATAAGAGTAAAATAGGAAAAATAATATTATTTATGCATTGATTTTGTAAGATGATAAGTATTAAGGAGAATCTATTTAAAATAAGGACGACATATAAACATGAACAAAGGGAGTACATTTTTATATTTAGTAATGGAAAAATCTAAGTTTAAAACTTTTTTTCTTAAATTTCTATGTCAACAATATATTTATGTAGTTAAAAAAATCACAATTTTTTTTTTTAATTGCATCACATAAATTGAGACGAGGAAGAAGATACCTGTGTCCCCGTACCTTTTCCAGGCTGTAAAGCAGTACTCTGTATATGGCTTTTCTGGAAAACCTGTTGACTCTCTTCGCGAATTCCGGTCACTTGTTCGAGAATATCCTTGAATTCCGGTGCGATTTTCCAATTGTGGATCCATTTGTGAATTGGAAGGATTTTACTGAACACGTTATCTTGGTCAATCTTCGCCTGAATTAGGAATTTATCGATCGCATCTTCAGCTTTATATACTATTCGTTGAATTTTCAGGAACAATTTATCCAAATCGATGTTGTTTTTGGTTTTCAATTGTGCAGAATCTCCAGCTAGTAACTCATTTAAGGGTTCAATTTCATCCAATAATCGCTGGAAATCTCCCTTCGCACCTCTTATCAGTTCGACATTTTCCGATAGTAGCTGCGATAGACTATCCACCAGAAAGCTTACCGCTTTTGTCGCCGCCGGACTCACCGCTGCAACCGTTATAGATTCCATTGCAATCTGTCAACAAAGATGTTACAGATCTAACGATTCGTGAGATCGAGTTGCTCGAATGGTGAACTTCATCTACTTCAACACTTAACCAAGCATAAAACACATGAAACTTCCGAAACATGTTTGATTATTTACCTTTTTCTCTAAGTTTGAAATCTGAAAAATCAACATCTCCCTATAAAACTGAGTTAAATTTCAAAAGTTTTAAAATTTTGAAAAATAACAAAAATGAATTTTCACTTTTTTTACATCAAATTACTCAGAAAAGCTAAAAATAACTTGATGAATTTGCATTCACAAAAAATCACAATAAAATATGGTCAAAAACTCGTTACATATAGTAATAAAATAATTATAATTATTTTTTGTATAATCTCAAAATAAAATTCTGAAGAAGATTATATATATATATAAAAAATTTACCTTTACCTTGTAATAATAACTAAGAAATTGTTCTCCATAAATCTTCTTCGCCAAAGAGCTTCATCATAGTTGTATAATGTATGTATGCATATATGGATATGAATTTGATTTTACATGTTTAGATTAGGAATACTGGTTACATTTTTTTAAGTTTGACTCCTATTATTTTAATCAAGTCATTTTTTATTCTTTATTAAGAAAAAGGGATAAGGATCTAAAAAATACCTCAACTTTGGTCGAATTTGCTGTTGCGATACTAAACTTTCATGAGGACCTATTACCTCCCTAGACTATTTAATAACGTATTTTTTACCCCCTGAACTATTTAATAGTGTATTTTAAAGGTATATATGTGCCCACGTGGACACATTACTATTTATAATTTTGCATTATTTTTTATGTCCACGTGGGCAAATATATATGTTTAAAATACAGTATTAAATAGTCTAGGGAGGTAATAGGTCCTCATGAAAGTTTAGTATCGCAACAGCAAATCCGACCAAAGTTGGGGTATTTTTCAGACCCTTATCCCCCATTTTAACCTACACAAATCTAACAAAAATTATTAAATTTCCACTACAATTTGAACCTCAAATATTATATTTGGTAAGACATCTGTTTAAAGAGGGGGTTTCCTCTTGTTAGAAGAAAATTATATACCACACTAAATAAATCAATCTTCTTTATTCTTACACTAGTCGAAATTATTCTTCAGAACAGGAGATGATCAAGTGAGTTTTTATTTGATGTTCTTTATATTCTTTTTATGTTTTGTTTGTTTTTTATAGGCTTCACGATATATTCATGGTGCTTTTAATTTTTAGTGAGAAAATAAAGAAAGGATTCAAAAATCTTGAACACAAAAGAAAAATACTTGTCTTCAATTATGAATTCCAAAGTACACTAATAGAGAGAAACAAAACCTGCCCTGCCAGTGCTGAAGAAGAACAAAAGTAACTTCTTATTGAGTTTCGTAACGATTGCGACCGATTGCAAGCGGAGGTGAATTTTCATTTCAGCAAATATTCGTTTATGAAATTTTTTGAGTTAATTGATTACTAACTTTATCTGGTCTTTTCATTTGCATTATGATAATTGGTTACCTATTGCCAAAAGATTGAAGACAAGTGATGGCATAAATTAGTGTTGGCCATGAATTTTTTTGATTAGATTTCTTTAGTAGAAAAACTAACAACTTGAATTCAAGTTATATCGAGTAAATTTTATATTATCAAATTATTTATATTTATCATGGTATATTTGAATTTTAAGTTATATCGTAATCAAGATAATATGATAAAATTTTGCAAAGTCTGTGAAATTTAAGTTTTAGTAAGTAACTTGAATTTGTTAACAAGAATAAAATTGTATTTTGTTATGAGTAATTTAGGGAGGAGATCGTTTTTTTTTTGTATATTTGTATTCACATTTTAGGGGGGATGCGGTACTTATACTATTTTTAGAAGTATGTTAATAGCAAGACTCAATAGGTGTCTTTTTTGTAAATAACATGACATAGATAAATCGTGGCATTACAATAAAAAAGATATTTAATGACAGTAGATTTTCTTTTTTATTTACTGCAAGAACATTTAGCATCAATTAAGTTAAAGTCATTGTATCTAAAATTACTAAATATTTAGCTGTCAGCTATGCAAAGTATATTAATTATAAATATTTATATTATATTATTACCGCTAGATATAATATAACAATAATTATGTTATCCTAATTCTTTATTTGTTAGTTATAACGTTATGTGATTTTGAATGTGAACAACCAAAAGAGATAAATTATATATGATTTGTTAAAAGTCTGTCCATATGCCCTTAATTTATTAATGCTACAAGTTGGCATTAGATTAGTAAAATATATATTCTAATTGATGATACTTTATAGCTTAATGATTGTTCTTCGAGGGTTAATGTATTTGTGTTGTGTAAACTTGACGTTAAATTTTAATTTTATGATATTAAATTTAAAATGTGTAAAATGTTTCAAAATATTTTTAAATTTTGTGATCTTTCAAATCTGTTGCGCCAAAAAAGAGAATTAAAAAGCTATAAAAAAGAACATTTTTTTTAATGTTAATAGATTTAACAATTCGTGAGATCTGGTGAAAGTAGAATGTACGTAAAATAGTTTTAAAAAGACAAGTATATAAAACTATAGATGATAGAGTAAGATCGACTTGCTCGGATGATGAACATCATCTACTCCAACACTAAGGAAGCATTAAATACATGAAATATTTTCACTTTTTTCGCAGTTGAACTTCGAGAGCATGTTTGGTCATGATATATTTACTTTTTTCTGGAGTTGAACTCTAGAAAACACGTCTGATTATAAAAGTCGCTTGAATTTCAAAATTGTCAAGAATTTGAAAAACATCAAAATGTGTCTTTACTTTTTTCACATCAATTACTCAGAAAAGTCAAAAATAACTTGTATTTGCATTCATTGCCAAACCTTATTTTCAAATTTCATTTTTTTTAATTTTGAGAACAAAAAAATACTTTTTAAAATTTCATAGTAAAGTATAATCAACGCTCATTAAAGATTATGAGTTTGAGTCACCAAGAGAGTAAATTTTTTTATTTTTTTTAAAATAGCAGATACTAATAAAATAAGGAAAAAGGCTCAAATATGCCATCGAACTTGGAAAAAAGGCTCATTTATATCATCAGTTAAAAGTTTGGTTGATGTTTGAGAAAATGATCATCCACGTCATTATTTTTAACTCCAATTTTACAAAACCATTTTTTACACGTGCCTAATTATAATTCGACCACCTCATTAATACTTTCTTAAAACAATCAAAATTTTAAAATCATTTGTGGAGTGAAGAATATCCACCCACATAAAAAAAAAATTCCAAAACAACGAAAATTAGTATCAAAATTTCAAAAATCTCCTTTGATTCGTGTTTTTGTTGTTGTTTTTGACACTATATCTTTATTCCCTAGTATGTTATCAGTCTACATTCAAAATTTCAGGTGATTTGGAGTAGTGGAGAAAATTCTACAATTAAAGGATGTTGAAGTTTTAAAACTTTGAAGAGATTTCAAGTGGGTCTTATTGAGTTTGGTTGAATTCGAACTCAAAAGATATTGAATTTTGATATCTAGCTCGGGGGAAACTACTCTTGAAATTTGAGGTGCTTTCTTGAAGAATTGAAGAAGTAGAAAACTTGGGAGTTCTTGGTGTTGTTGAGGAAAAAGAAACAAACCGAATACATTTGATCCAAAATTTCAATTGAAAAGTGTTAAAAGTTGTTTGGATATTGTTGAGGTGAAAAATAGTTTTAGAAAACTTGAGTTAAAAAAATGGCATGGATGAGCCTTTTCTCACATGACAATGACACAAATGAGCCAAACTTTTAATCAATGACATAAATGAACCTTTTCTCAAAGTTTGATGACATTATTGAATTTTTTCCCATAAAGCAATAACGACAATTTTCTATATAATCCACAAATAAAAATCTGGAGAAGATAGTCTATAGGCAAACTTTACCTCTAATTTGTAATAATAGCTAAGAAGGTTGTTTTCGATAAATTTTCTTCAATTTAAGAAGAGATGAAAAAAAATCAAATAATAACAAACAAGAATATATATTGATGCTTACTTTAGCTAGTAATTTGTCCTGAGATATGCTCTTTTTTTTCGCTTCATCATAGTTGTATGTATATATAGATATGATTATATGAATTTGATTTTACATGTTTATACAAGGAATGGTTACATTTTCTTAAGTTGACTCCTATTATTTTAATCAAGTCATTTTGTATTGTTGAGAAAAACTTATAACTTGAATCGAAGTTATATCGTGTAAATTTTATATTATTAGGTTATTTATATTTGTTATAATAAATTTAAGTTTTAAGTTATATCGTAATTACCAAGTGAATATAGTAAGATTTTACAAAGTCTGTCAAATTGAAGTTTCAGTAATTAACTTTTCTCACAAGAATAAAGTTATATTTTGTAATGGGTAATTTAGAGAAGAAATTAATCTTTGTATATTTTGTAGGAGGGGGATACGATATTTATAATATTTTTAGAAGTCTGTTAATAGCAGACTCAATAAGTTTTTTTTGTAACGATAGATTTATATGTGTGTCACTTTATAACGGTAGGGATATTTGTTAGCCATTTTTATAACAAGAAAATTCCAAATAGCAAAATTAAAAGATATATTAAACTATTTCCCTTCGTATATATCAATGAAAATATGTATACGAAATATTATGGCACTAGAAATACAGAAGCATTTCAAGTCCCTTTCCCTCAATATATATTATGTTTTTTTCCTTCTTTCATTATTTCCAATTCCAATTTTTTTTTATCAATCACATCAGTCCTTACCTAACCAAATTACATCATGATTAGGTGTAATGAATATCTTAATATGTGTTGCAATAAAAAATGCTCTACAATTATTTGATCTAGTCTTTAATTTAATTTGTACCGTCAACATTAGTCATCTAATAAAAAAAAATTAAAATTTAATCAAAATTTATATGGACCAAACCCAATAAATATTTACATGAAATGAACCCTTAAATAATCAATATATCAGCTAAAATAGGGTTCAAATATATGAAATTAAAAATGATGAGTGGTTATGAAAGTGATATCCAACGTAATGTAGCCTCCCATTTAATTTTTACTCATATAATTGACGTTAATAATTTTTTAAGAGGACCCTTACTAAATTTAAATATATATTCGCACTCAATATTCACACTCAATATTCACACTATATCATATTAATTTATTATAATTAGGTGATTAAATAAAATACAAAAAATATATAATAATTAAGTGATTAAATGAAATAAGAATAATGTATATAATAATATATTATATACATTCATATATTGATTTAGTGTAAACAACAAGACATAGATAAGTTGTGCCGCTACACCAAAAAAGATATTTAATGGTAATATATTTTCTTATCGAATTGCCGCAAACAATTTAGCATCAATTGAGTTAAAGTCACTATATCTAGGATTGCTAAAGCATTTAATGGTCATTTATGCAAAGTATATTAAATATAAATACTCGTATTATATTATTACTATTACATATAA